TACCTGTCCACAGGGAAATGGAATGACTCCACAAACATGGGCGATAGAGGAGTTGTTGCATAATAGCAATTTTTGATCACTCTAAATTTAAACCAGTGAGCTAAGGGGATCCCATTAGCAATTTGCAGGGTCATCCAGTCCCTCAGAGACATCAGCTTCATCAGTGTAATATTTCTGGATTATCATAAGGAGAAGAGAGATACCTGTCCACAGGGAAATGGAATGACTCCACAAACATGGGCGATAGAGGAGTTGTTGCATAATAGCAATTTTTGATCACTCTAAATTTAAACCAGTGAGCTAAGGGGATCCCATTAGCAATTTGCAGGGTCATCCAGTCCCTCAGAGACATCAGCTTCATCAGTGTAATATTTCTGGATTATCATAAGGAGAAGAGAGAGGGTGCATTGGCTACGTACTGTGAATCTGCATTCTTTTCAGAGAAGACACGGAGGCAGAAATCCCCATCCTTGTTGGGTTCAAAAGTGGATGGCACAATGACATAGTCTCCTGGAGGGAGTTTGAATCGGTTTAGTACCTCTCGGAGATTGATGAAAGTGTTTGATTTTTCTTTGGCTCTGTTCGTCAGGAAGAAGTTTTTGCTCAGATGAACGTTTGTCTGTCCAGAAAACTTATTCAAACAAATAAAGAGTTATTTCAGTTCAGAGAGAAGCTGAAGACAGAACAGTAACATGTTACCCTTCTTGACTTGGATAAAGAGTAGTACTACAGAATTAGGAGAGAGAATAAATGATGGCATAATATATAGATATTACTGGCACGAGTTTGCAATAGTCACCTTACACATGAGTTCGAGGGCTGGTTCACGTCATACAGGTCATCCCAAATGAGGGTCAATAAGTTCTAGATGTCAAGTTCTAGATACGTTACACAGTTTGGGGGGAATTTGGCAAAACATTTTAAAAATATTTAGGATTCTAAGCATAGGTGCTAGGTGCTTTTCTTCACATCCCCTGCCACCTGGAAGGCCTGAGATGTCTAAAGGTATGTCTCTCTGGTAACATGGTGTGTGTAGGATAATATTTTCCATAACACAAGTCATAGTGTCACTGGCTTAGGACAATACAGCATAATCTTAGGAACCTTTTGATCATCTGGAAACTATCCTTTTGCAATTCCCTCAAATATAGTCATAGTATACAAAAGCCCAGGTTTGTATTAATTCAACACAATTGACAAAGAGAGAAATCAAAAGGAACAATAAGGAATTGTTATTTAGAATATTCATTTTGTACCATATCTGAACCCTGTACAAAACAGAATTTTGTTGGGTCTGTGCTGCAATGAATCCTAACAATGTGCAGAGCAGCAATACAACAAAAACAACAGCTTTGGGCCTCAAATATCTACGTATACTCTTAGCAAGATCAGCATTGCCTGTCCAGTGGTCTCTCTTCATCCATGCTATTAAATCCTGTCTATGAACATTAACCATTGAGAATGGAGGAAAGAGAAAATGCATATTACATACCTGTGAGGGGAGCTGTAGAAAAAGCAGAAAGGGGCACAAGTTAGTTATCTGTTCATTGAAAGAAAACTAGCAGCTCTGTTAGATTAAAATTATTACTATTTCCCTCTGCACCTCCGTGAGATACATCTAGTGAAACACATTGTATTAGGTATGATTATACTCAATATTGCTAGCTGAGGTATTAAACCAGAGCACCCAAACGTATTCAACTAATGGCGATGGGGTAACTTCTCAGGACCCTGAAGGCTACACCTAATCTGTACAAAATGGAGCCATTAGCAGTCAGCTTCTTCTTCGAAATGGCAATATGTCCTTTGGAGACTACAGATCCCACCATGCAATGTTCTGTCATGATATGAGTGGAAGATCTCTTACATCGTGTTGGGTACTGTAATCTGTGCCAGTTGACACATTCAGTCAAAGATGAGCAATTGTGGGCTCCATTGTAGATATCCACAGGACACATTCAGTTTGCACATCAAATCTGGGTCATTCCATTCCCTTGTTCACCATCCTACTGAAAGGAATCGGGAATACTGCTGGTTTTCTGGCTCACTTGGCTTGCCAAGCAACTTCCAAGGATTTAACAATTCCAAACAGTGGGATGTTTCAAGCAGCACCCAGGTCAGTGTTTTCCCACACTCCCACCCCGAAAAATATCCAGAGAAGAACCAGGCTTGTTCATTGACTGGCATAACAATAATGAGTATAATCTTGCACTTGTCTACTAACTTGCTTCAGAGAATCTGAATTTGTTTTATGCCTCACAACGTCCGGGTGGAGCATATGTTGACACACCCATATTCCAGCCTTGGAAATTGAGGCAGAAAGCTGTTAAGAAATTTGCCCAAGCTCATACAGCATGTCTGTGGCACAACCAGGACTAGAATTTGGGGAATTAAGCCATGGAGGATACTACTCTTCAAGGAAATACTAGAGAGCAGCTGTGTGTTTATTAGGAAAGAGAGATGGAGATGCCAGACCCTTTGTGTAGTTCTTTATCCTAGATAGCCTTACACATGCTTTTACTGGCTCTGCTCATGGGCCGATCTCTTTCACACAGGCTCTGATACCTCCCTAATGGCCTGTGCCCTGCCAGAATCAATCCCATTTGGTTGCCACTCACCATGATTTGATCAATTAAAAAAGGCTAAGATGAGTGGAACCCAGAATGGATTTCTGACTTTTCAATGTTTAACCCTTTCCCTGACCCTGTACACCAGAGTTCCACAGCTGGCACTCAGAGTGGATGTACCAGATACTGAATGGGCATTGCTGCATATGACTTTGTGTCTCATTCCTGATGCATGAGGCAGCAAGGAAGCAGCCAAGCCATTCATCAATGACCCCGTCCCAAACTTTTTTTTTTTAAGTTATGTGGACTTTTTCTATTTTCTTCCTGTCAAGGAATTTGCATGTGTGTGCGCATTGCTCTACTTGCCTCATAGATTCCAAAGCCAATGGTGTGCATATCCTCCCCCATCTTCCTCTGCCTCCTCCGGTGCTTCTGCATCAGGCCAACCAAGAAGGTGCAGCCCTTCTCAGGATCATCCAGATCCCCATCTTCTTCTTCCAGCTTAATCAAATACTGTGGATTCATCCAGAAAGTATCTGAGAGAGAGAGTTTGGGACACAAACCACTCAGAGTCTGCTCTGAAACCAGCCCCTGCTGACATTTTTTAGCACCCACTCTAGCTTGGACATGTCCTTAAAGAGACAGATGTAATGTTTCAAACCGGGGTGCATAAAGAACAGCAACAGTGTCCAGATTTCTGCCCCCTGATTTTCAGAGACAATGAGCACCTGCTCATAAAGTCAATGGGAGTTGTGGGGACATCCCTGAAAATCAGGTTCTAGGTGTCTCAAGATGAGCATCCAATTGTCTTCATCAGCGAATACCTGAAAACACTGGCTTCAGGGACTTGCCCAAGGTCACCAAAGAAGTTAATGTAAGAAGCAGGATTAGTCTCCCTCAAGTTCCCAGGGGCCAGTCTCATGCTTAGACCACTAGTTCAAAGCTCTCTGTCTAGACATGGCCCCGGAGAAAGAGGAATCTGGTTGGAGTTTGGCAGGGGCTGCTTGAGACTTTTAAACAAGTAGTGGAGTAAGGCAAGGACTATTTAGATGTTCTTTTTTAATTGTCAGGGAAAAAATACATTGGCATTTAACGGAAGGTACACTGAAGAACCCACTGCCTTGACAGATGATTTTATAACGCTCCACATGCCCTAAGTAAATCCAGGTCAGAATAAGTCCATGCAGAAGTAGCACATGGGAGGTCTTACTTGGGTAATTCCGGCAACCCCCAGCAGTGGAGCCACGTCTCCAATTCCCGTCTAGCTTGGTCAGGCTCCACTTCTTGTATTTTTCATTTGCCAGTGTGTCCGGAGTCAGGTTGCAGATCTCAAGGCGGGAATAATGTCTCAGGAAATCACTGAATGACATCCTGTGAAGGGCAATGCCACATATGAATCCTGCTTAGAATATGAGACTTTTCCAAATCCTTCCCCTAATAACTCTAGCTATCACCTGACTCTTCAATTGTTGGCCAGGACGATGAGGTGCTTTATCCAGCCATTGTGGACACCTTGGGTATTATGCCATTAAACCCACTCTTCCATTGAATATAGTGCCACCTCACCGATCCACCCCATTTCTGACGATCGGGATCATGGCCCCCATGTCCAATGGGACAGGCTACATATTTGCTCAGGTTTGCAGATCCCCGGGCTCATTTATCCGAGTCACTGTTTATCCGAGTTGCTGGCCCTGGGTACTTCATGTTAAAAAAATGAAGGAAAATAATCCTCCCTTCTGTTAAAAACCCCAGAACTTCTCACCAAAATTCTCCATCTTCATGTCTCCTGGTCAATCGCTCTCTCACCTCGGGAGCAACACTATTCCAGTTTGAACAGCTAGGATAGAAATATGGGACTTTGATTAATTGTCAAAGGGCATGTCAAAGTCCATCGCTAATGCAGTGACTTTGATGGGGGTCACTTATCTTTATGTAGCTCCATGTGATTGTGATATGGAGCTCAGTATAACTCCCAAACTTGGCGGAGCATAGTAGCAATTTAGATCATGCACTGGTAAAACACACAACTTTCATGAGTGCCTAGTGTTTTGGGGTGTGTCACTATTTGGGGGCCCCAGTTTGTGATGATTAAAAGTGCCCCGAATTCCAGAAAATGGGAGGACTAGCCTGTCCCCTGCCAATCAGGCTCCAGCATGGTGTCTTGGATTGGACATTCAAAAATGGAGGCACCCAAACTCGTTAGATACTTTTGAAAATTTAGACATTGTGCCTTTAAGAAAAGACGGCTTAAATGAATTGTCAATCAGTGGGATAACTCCTTTAGGAAAATGAGACACTGGGACAGATGTTCACCAGCCATTGTAGAGAGCATCTCTATGTTTTCAGGGTAATGGTCAATGTTAAGTTCTTTGTAAAGAATTGTATAATTCTGCTCTCTTGGAATTCACACCTCCAGATCAGCTGCTAGAAGTGGGCCTCATCCTCCTTGATTGGATCCACCTCGTCATCTCCAGCCTGATCCTGGCCTGCATATTTATACCTGCCTCTGGAAATTTCCACTCCATGCATCTGATGAAGTGGGTCTTTGCCCACGAAAGCTTATGCTCCTACACTTCAGTTAGTCTATAAGGTGCCACAGGACTCCTCGCGCTTTTGCAGATTCAGACTAACATGGCTACCCCTCTGATACTTTACAAAGAGGGTTTCTCTTGAAAATATGGCATCTTCTCTGTAGAAGTACATACTGGGATCCAAGTCTTTAGAGAGTCATGCAAGGTAGAAGAGCTTAGGACAGAAAATGCAGAGTTTAGGGTGCAATTCCTAGTGTGAATTTAGCTATGCCACCAGATGAACATGCTCTTACAATGTATCAATCCCCTAGACCTGGGCTACTCAACATGCAGCCCATGGGCTACATGTGGCTCGCAGCCCTTTTGTTTGTGGCCCGCAGTGCAGTTTGGGTTTACGCAGGGGTCAACACACAGCCTGCGAGTGGGATCCTTTGAACATGGCTTCCACTGGGAACACACTCCACAACAGTGAGGTGTCTCCCAGGTGAGGTGAGCATTGAAAGATGCAAGCGGATGGGCTGGCTGGAACAGGCGGGTACAGGAGTGCCGGAGCATTGTGGAAAGTGCTTTGTATTCATGCCCGTCAGTGTGAAAGAAGCTAGTTGCATATATTTGCATGTATATGCAACCACACTTAAGTTGTGGCCCCCAGGGCTTCCTAAATTGAGTAGTCCTGCCCTAGACCTTTAACTCACTTATCATTCCATTTTCCAGTCCACTCCACTTCCCCCCAGGGATTTCGGATTCGGATCAGCTTTTGCATGCTTCCTCGGCAATTCACCTGAAGAGATTAGAAGGGCAGAAGGGGCTGACTTACAGGAAGAAAACACAATGGTTGAAATACTTGCACCCCATTCCTTAGCTATGTAATTTTGCACCTGGTTATTTACTCAGAGAGGAATAACACCTCATTGGCTTTGGATAAACTCGGATACCTAACACATACAGACAGAAGATTCAGAGTGCATGCAAATCAAATATTTGAACGCCGGGGGGCAACCAAAATCATTCTTGTGCAGTAAGAATGACACATCTAATAGGATTTAATAATAAAGAGCAGAGCTGCAGAAGGAATGTGATATTATTCACTGAACCGCAGAAATCCTTACAGTGTGGTTTTATTCTAAAAAGCACCTGGATACAAATGGTACATTCCAACCCAACTAATCTAGACCCCCTGTCTATTCAGAGTTACACACAGGACACTGGGGTGACAGCTCCTTGTCTTGTAAAAACTGCCACAAGTTCTTTCCTTACTACAAACACTCTGGACCTCGGTGGTGCCAAGGCCAACACTGCAGTTCCTCCTAGTGCCCTGCTGAGGCTTAGGTTTCCTAGTGACTGACTGACTGACTGACTGACACACACACAGGTTAGAACCCCTCAGAACTTTAAAATCCCAACCAGAAATCAAGGTTATTTTGAGGAGGCAACAGATTCCTCGGAGGCAGGGAACTGCAGGATGGCTGTGAGCTTGAAGCCCAGAAAATGGACATGCTTCCTCTTGAGGACAGGTACACTATGGTGTATGCAGTAGCTGAAACAGCACAGAGAAGTCTGTGGTGCCTACTGGTGTGACTGAGGCCTGAGAAAGTTAATGGGGCTGCTCTGAAATGAAACAGCCACTAGGAAGAGCCTGCAGAGATTTCCAAAGGCTAAAGCCTGGCCCAGTTAATATCTGAGGGTATGTCTATACTACAAAGTTAATTCGAACTAACAGCCGTTAGTTCGAATTAACTTTCATAAGCGCTACACAGGCAAACCGCTAGTTCGAACTTAATTCGAACTAGGTAAACCTCATTCTACGAGGACTAATGCCTAGTTCAAATTAAGTAGTTCGAATTAAGGGCTGTGTAACCACTTAATTCGAACTAGTGGGAGGTTAGCCCTCCCCAGCTTGCCCTGGTGGCCACACTGGGCACAACCAGGGAAACTTGTCTGCCCCCCTCCCGGCCCCGGAGCCCTTAAAGGGGCACGGTCTGGCTACGGTGCCCGTGCCAGGTGCAAGCCTGCCAGCACCCAGCCAGCAGACCCTGCACCTGACATGGCACGAGCCAGCCACCCGCTGCCACCCAGCCCTCCGCCTCTTCCCAGGACCAGGCTGGCAGCTCCCAGGAGCCTGCCCGGGGCCGCAAGAGGCAGGCGCCCACCTGGTCTAGTGCGGAGATCGTGGACCTTACCCAGGTTTGGGGGGGAGGCATCCAACGTCCACGACTTCCGCACTAGGCACAGGAAAACGGCCGTCTAGGGCAGGAGAGCTGCCAGCCTGGCCACCCAGGAGCAGGTGTGCATGAAAATCAAGGCGGTCCACTGAGACCCCCAACCCTGAGCCCTGAGCTTACAATGGCCATACTGGGTCAGACAAAAGGTCCATCTAGCCCAGTAGCCTGTCTGCCG